TCAACCCTGAGCCGGTGAGATTTGAACCGCTGACCTGCTGATCTAGCAGTAGCCTGCAGTGCTGCATTTAACCACTGCGCCACCTTGGCTCAATGAAATTGAGTTTGACACACCTGGTCTAAATGCACCATCTGCAGAATGGGCGCACTCCAAGTCCCATCAATTAAATGCTGTCATCCTATGGGGAGCAAGATTTGCTCAGCCTGCTAGGCCCCAAGAACAACACTTAAGAGTGGTTTCCTTTATTGCTCTTCACCTATAGACAGAATCTTGCCAGACTAAAGCAACTATTGGTATGACTACTGGTATATTCTGAGAATAACTACAGAGGAGCCATTTTAACCCTTTCTGCTGAACGAACTTTGCAAGCTCTGCTGCTTCTTTGCTCTCTGGAAAACAGCCCCTCCCTGCTGGAAACCCAGATTACATTGCACATCACATTACGACACCCTAGGTTGTTGGGGAGAACATGTTGTGTATGAAGGCCAACGCCAGTTTAAAAATCTGTGACTTCACACTATTGTGTACAGTTAATATCATCCTTGATATATTTAGCATTTTAAACATTGTATTGTCCAATTTGAAGAAAGTTAAGATAATTATTCAAGCTATTATCAAGCAGTAGAAATCTCCATTAAGCTCCTCCAGTTTACTGTCATTTCTATTATTTAGCCAGACCACATGAGCCCTCTGAATCTGCAGAACAATGCTTTCAAATGACATAAGCCAGAGGTATAGAACTAATAAGCAATTTGTGGGCTGTCATTCCTATTCCATACTGCTAAGCAGCCTTCAGTATTACCAAGGAGTTAGACACACGTTGTGACAACTGAACTGCAGCATAACTCATGCACCTGCAAACCCAGCAATGTGTACAATGCGAGGATTGGAAGGAAGAAATGTTCGTAGTATTTCTATGTACCTGGGTGTTTGGAAATTTGTCAAGATGTTGTGAATGATAATTTTAAAGAAAATGGAAAAGAAGACAATATGCATATGGAGTAGCTTATAACCCCTAACTTTTCAGGATCTAGAACTGGTAACAGAAATAAATTATGTGCTGTAGGAGTTTTTTTTTAGCTCTCCCCCTGCTCCGATATCTTATGAAATATTTCTGGAATAAGAAAGAAAAACACCTTTCTTCCGCAACTTTCCAGAAGCTGCCCTGCCTCTGCCATTTAGAGCCAGGTGCTTATCTGTTAATAAAGTATAGGACTAGAACTGGTGAAAGATTCATGGTTCTTTCCCTATCAATCAATTCAGGCCAGCTGACAGAACTGTTATATAAAAAAAATGGAAATATAAAGTCCTATTATAGCATCGTGACTGAAATAATAATAGTAATAATTAAAAATTATAATGATAGTCATATGTCTATAAGGTGTGAGAATTAAGAAAGTATTTTTTATATTTTTTTCTTATTATATAATAAAGAATGGGGAGATCTTAATCGGGAGGGAATATTTCTTTTTCTTCTTTCACTCTCAAAACGTCAGCTATGCTGCAGATCTGCGTAGATGTGTTCTTATTAAAGAAAGAGGCATAGACTAATATTTTATTGCAATTTCTTTACTTTTTCCTGTATTAGTGGCATAGCACCTTTGACTGCTTAAAATTCCAAACAAAGTTCACTGCAATTTTAAGACACAGTTTAGGAAGCCTAATTAATTACTGTAGGATTAACATATGAATACACATATACAGGATTGCACTGGACACAAGAAATGTTGCAAATTACTCATCCTTCACTGGGTGAAACTGAAACTTTTGCATAATTTTGCTACCTTTGCATTAGTGGTTGTTTTAAAGTGAAACAAAATCAAAACCTAGACTTTTTACAGTAATCTTTTACAGCAAGAAAATTCATCTGAAAGGATCAAATGCAAAGTGATAAATACTACATTAATTGATAGTATTTTAGCTCTCCCCAAAATTCTTTGGTCCTCAATGGAGTAGTTAAAAAAATAATGCTGTGGTGACATTATTCGTTCTAATGGGGTTTGCTCCACTCGCTTATGAATGAATTTATCATTAAAATAAAATTATACAGAATTGGAAGTTGCAAATTGTAAATAACAAAGGTCTTTTATGTGCACTTTTTTTAAAAAAAAAAGAAAAATCTACTCTGCAATTGTGGGGAAGTTCTAGGTCAGAGTACAAGAGCTTAAATAACAAATAACTGCCATTGCTTTATTTTAATAAAACAATTATACTAACAAGAATTTATACTGCAAGACAATGCCTTATATACAATAGAACAGAAACCTAAAACAATGCCCTATGACACATACATCTAAAGGAAGATTTGAAAGTTAATATTCAGCGTCAGATCAGCTTCTTATTAAGTAAGCAAACAGGCTTAAAAACCATCATGAACTAGACTTTTCAAAGTTGATTTTATTCTACGTGCACCAGCTAGCCTCTATTTTTATCAACACCTAAGCTATCATGTTCAATAAAAAAACTGAATTATCTCTGAAACAACTGGCAATATAAATAATCATCTCTATATTTATACAATAAAAGTAACAAATATAATAGCAGTGGGAAAATTCAAATCTGAAAAAGGGATGGGAGAGGCAACAGAAAATCGAAATACGATGAGCATGAATGAAAAGAGAATAGTTTAAGGGGAGCTTCACCTTGCCCTCAAGGAAGAGAAAGGCTGACATGCTGTTAGTAGGAGTGGGCAAAGGCACAAGACATCAAGATGGGAGGGGGGTTAATTTCTCAATTAATTTAAAATCATTAGCCAAGTCTTTGGCTACAGCTGCTGGTTTTTCATTTAAGTGGGGGGAGAGGGTGGGTGGATGGGTGGAGGGAAGAATTTTAAGTGCCAGGAACTTTTACCAAAACGTGGGTCAAGTCTTGGATCTAGCCAAGATGTAGTCTTGTTCTTATGGTTTATGTAGTAAATTTCTCCATCCTGGGTCATGGCTTGTTCCCATCCTTCAGGGAGCGGGCCTGTAACACAGAAGGAAGCAATTCATAGTAGGCTGTGCTATGCCTGCTGAAAAAAAGTAGCTAAACTTAAAAAAAAAAGAAACAAACCCCAGTTAATTTGCATAAAACACAGCACACATGAAACTAATTGTTTCAGCACATCGTGGCTCTCAGTATTTAAGGGAAAGGAAGAATACTATAGCTGTGTTGCAATAAAACATCCCTTTCAAGTATCTAGAGTGATGCGGGGGGGGGGGATTAAAATGCCCTAAAATTTACCCCATCTTTTGATTATTCTAAATTCTTTGTACTGCAAAAATGAAAAGGAAGGGATAGTTACAAGTCCAGGTTCTACTGCCTGGCTTCATAATATGAGGGGGGGAAAAAACAACTATTTTTATTTTTGTCTTGGCATCTTTTTCAGAATTAGCCAAAAATTCATATTCCAGGACATTTCAAAACTCTATTTTAGGTACATTTCTGTTCCTATTTATCTATGTTAATTTTCCATATTTTGTGCATTATTCCTTATATTGTACAATTGTTTTTATGTGAAACAGTGGGAGTTCTATGTAAAAGCAATATCGTGCAGGAACTCAATAAAGAGGCTGTATATATATTGATACATATTGTGTATCATCACGGAACCCTTAGCCATACTTATGCTAATTTTGGTCTGGCCAATCATTGGATAGTTTATGAGAAATAATCTTTTCCCCATTTATATAAAAAGCAAAAGGGGCTCATTGGTCTTCAGATTCTTTGAACTATCATTTCAGAAATCTCAGACCATTTTTTGATCTTTAACCATGAACTTACAGGAGGCAACTGGAGGGCAACCGTCCTTGTTCTAAAGAATGGGAAGAGCAATCATGTAGCTTTCACAGGTTTGGTAAGACCACAGATAAATTAGAGGATAAAAGAACTATATAAACCATTAATCAGGGAGAAACTTGTTTATTAGCTGGGAACAGCAATGTCCTGTTTTAATGAGCATTGCTAATGTTCCATATTGAAATTTCACAGTAGACCATGCTCCACTTAGCTTCAATGGAAAACACACATTAATTATGAAAATCTATGGAAATTATGTAGAAAATGAAAGTGATTAGCTATCAGACTTTCAATGTTATTTCAAGAAAAACAGAGAGAATGAACTCTTTTTAAGTTGGGAAGGTCAAACAAGAGAGAATAAAAGGAAGATTATGAAGAGTGTAGAAAAATAGGAAAGTTTATTTGCAATATTGACTTTTTGAAAAATTCAAAACACTGGGAATAAGGTTATGCTGCCAAAATCTTTGTTCATTTCACTTTTGTTTAATAAAATCTTGAAAATATTGTATATTATATTTTGAAAAAAAATGTTTTGATAAGACAGAGTTCTGCTAGCTTTATTACTCTAACTCTTATCAAACCCTGTAGCTTGAGACTAAACAAAATTGCTAAACCGCTATAATTTCATCCAAAACAACTGTGACAAATATTCTTAACTCTTATTTCCCACACCATCCTCAAACTTTTTCAACTGGTAAATATTGGGGCTATAGTACAGCACCTTGCTTTCTAATTGTAGGAAGTCTTGTTTATTATTATTATCACTAGTCTATAGCATTAAAAGTCTGTATCTGTTCCTGCATCTATCTATGCCAGAATTTCTTTTTAATTTTGCAGACAAGTTCATCTCATACGCTGCTTTAATAAGCCATGGTTTGAAGAAATTCAATACATTATCCAGGACAATGTATTGCATTTCACATTAGTAATAATCTTCCCCCTTCACATATGTTTTGTCCTGATTTGACCAAATACAAAGAAGCAAAACAAAATGCCAAACTTGACCTTGTTCTGCTTAGAAAATACCATAAAGCAATTCCATAAAAATGAGGTGAAGTTCAAACAGCAATTATTAGTATTATTATTTGCTTTCACGTTTCAGGACAGAATCTGTAAATAATTTAAAATATATGAATAGCATCTAATGCCAGGTTAGACTTGCAAAAAAACTGATATATCATTTAATGCTGTCAGCTGCCCAGTTATGTTCTTGAGATGGGTGGCTATATACTGTAAATAAAATAAAACCATTGAAGAATTGTCTATTTTCAACCTCTAATTCTGCTTATGATTAGTATGTTGTCGAACCAAACACTAAATACTATTTTCACAAAACAATTTTGAACTTCATACAATGCCATTAAATCGTATCTCACTGTTAAATCTTGGGTCAAGATGAAACAGTGCGTTTCCAAGACTACATTTGCCACCAGAATAATTTGCAGTGTTCTCTCCACATTCTTAGATACCCATAATTATCATTTTTCACCAAGCTTAGGAAGTATGACTAATTACAAATCTCTATTACTCCCTGGCAAGGAATGTCCTTTCAAATCAGTAACATGTCTTAGTGCAGAGACAGATTCAAAAATTATTATTGCGAAACTTTTACCACTCTTCAAATCATGGTTTTAAAGAAAAAAAAAATACACACACTTATTTTGCTTTAAAAAAATCCCTGGAGATTTCCATAAACATCTTTTTCTGTAACTTTAAACAAACTCTTTCTCTATCAAATAATCAACCAATGTTCTCACATAAAAGCTTTCCATTAATATGCTGATAGAACAAATAACAGTAGAACAACATCTACATTTGTTAATACTATCATCTTTTCTTAATCTTCTAGGAAGGAGAACCAGCAGATGAAGAATATAGGCCTATGGAACAAACCTTAAAGAGTAAAACACCTGCTTTCTTAGTCATAAAAGTATTTGCTCATACAAATGTTTTAATAAAGCCTACATTTTTATTTCAAATGGACAATATATGGACGGAAATGAGGATGATTAGGACCCATTTATTTATCATTCAGATTGAGAGCCTGAATCTGAATGGAGAAGCTACAGATTGATAATCCAGGACTTTTTTTCTCAAGGAAAGAAAATTATTTCAAATCACTCACGATACGAAAACTTGTAGCAGACAGATATTAGATATTACTATATTCTTACTGAGGAAAATTATAAATTCCAGCCAAGTTTTCTGACTGCCTGTTCCAATGTCTGTTAATTCACAATCCTAGCAGGGGCAGAAATAAACCATTTCTTCTTAATCAGTCTGTCTGTCTGGCAATAAAGGTCATAAAATCAGGTAGAACTCACTTAATGACCACATCACTTAGCAATGGAAGTTCCAGTTTCAATTGTGGCCATAAGTCTAAGACTACCTGTACTGATTATTAATGTATCCATAGCAGAATCTGTAAAAAGTGTCATTTTATAAATCCAGGACACATGTTCATTCAAAAGAATTTTTCCTTCACAGGTTGCCAAAGTGTGTGTGTGTGTGTGTGTGTGTGTGTGTGTGTGTGTGTATACATACATACATACATACATACATACACACACGTATGTATGTATGTATGTATGTATGTATGTATGTATGTATGTATGTATGTATGTATGTAGTTGTATTTGTGCTGATAAATAAATAAAGGGAGACTA